CTCTTCCCAAATGGGCAGTAGCCATTTTATTGCCTCTCTCAGGACAGGGTGTAGCCATGGCAAAAGACAATGTGAGAAACCCATTAGGATATTTATCACACATGTGCTCTTAGGCAGACAGGGCTTTAAAGATGACCAATATGCCATGAATGTAATATATTTAGTTAATGATTCCTTATCTTTTAACTAAGTAGAACACTGTAAACTTTCAAAAATTGGTGAAGATTTCCATTTTTAGGCAAACTGAAATCCATAAGTAAATCTGAAATGTCCCCACCTCGCCAAGTGAGCTTTCTCAGATGTTCATTCATATTGAGTTAGTAATTTGAGATGCTGTGTTTCTCAGAGTATAAAGATTATATGTCTGGTCAGGGAGCATTATGAGGTTACCCCAGGAATTATTTTAAAATGTTTATTAGGAAAGAGCTAATAGGGAGGCTGACATGTTGCTGTACTACTTGTTCAAACACACACAGGGAGGGTTTGGCAGCATGACTCAAAGGTAGAAGAGGAGTCTGAACTTGTTATTGGTATGGAGTGTGGGAAATCTTAAATTCTTAGGTATTTGTGGTTATTATAATTATAATGATAGATGGATTATGGTGGTGTGGCATTATAGGATTTACATCATACAAACAAAATGTGTCCATTTCAGGACCAATATGATGCTAGCTTTCCAATAAAAAAAACTTCTTTGATAGCTTCTTTGAAACAAGAAGTTTTAGGGTTAAGTTTGTCCATTGAGCGCCTTTTATTAGCATAGCCTTCCATGTAAATCTCACACAATTATCTCATTGGCCTACAAAGCTTCTTGCAAAGTTTTTTTACAAATCAGGCAGAGATCTAAAAGTTGTGTTTTATAATATGAGGAAGGATCATGCATTGTGCACAATTAGATGGAAACAGGATTAACAGTACATTTTCAGAACTGCCTAGGACTAAAGTTTGTGTCACTGAGGCAGTTTTGAAAATGTTGCTTTTAATTCCCTCTGAAGATGAAGCCCCAGCAGGCCTCAACAGAATTTTAATGGTGTTCTGGTTTAAAGTTGCATTGTCTTACTGTTTCATCATTTGCACAGTGTATACAAAATTCATGCCTAAAGCTCCAGCTACCTGACAAAAATATGAGCACAGAAAACTTAACTCTATTCACCTGAAGAAGTGGGTTGTGCCCACCATCTACATTTTTTGTTAGTCTCTAAGGTGCTGCAAGACTATTGGTTGTTTTTTAAGTTTTTCCAGCTACAACCTAACACAGCTAACTCTCTGAAACACACAATCTGGGATTATTCATCTTCAGGATCAAAGGATTCAGAACCTCTCTGCTTGTTTTTACTAGCTATGAGAAGTATGAGTCTTCAGCTCAAAAAATCACAAGTTGATGTTCATCCAGTGACACCAGAACTACCAAAACTTCCTAAAATACCCTTCAAGGCATGGATCTGTTTTCTAAAATAGCAGCCAGTTTGGTGCACATATAATTAATCTTGTTCCTGAAGTATGTTGAAAATTCCCTGCAGCACAAAAGATCTGATTAGGTTTCTGAGCCAAGGAAACTAGAATTTGCCAGACTGTCAACTATTCAGAATAGTACCATGAAATGTGATTTCATGGATGAAATGGAGAAGAAAATTTTCTTCTCCTGATGCATTAGTTGTAAGCTCTGTGAAATGTCATAAGGAATGCCTAGCTAGCCCACTTATAAACACCAAGCACTCCTATTTCATGTCATTGGATTTATTTTGCCCTTATTGTTGGTTTTGTTGTTGATGTTGGTAGTGCTGAATTGTGACATGTTGGATTATGTAATGTTGCAAGGAGGACAGAAGGAAAGGAAAAACAATAAATATTTTAACTTAAAAGAAAACAGCAATTGCTCCACTGTGTCACTGCTACTGGACTCTTCATTCATTGCCCAGGTAGAGAAATAGCAGCTTACACTCTTAACAGAGATGGTGTTTTTCACTAAAAGTTGTGGAATATGTGACAGTCACAGCCATAGCACCCAAACGCTGTGGTTGTAGTGTAAGAGAGATGATAGTGTTTACTCTCTTACCTTTATGGTCCCGACAGAAGTTAGTGTAGAAGGTCTCCCTGCGAAGGATGATCTCCTGTGCAATGATTCCATAGCTGTACACATCACCTTTCTGAGACACATCAGCGTGACGAAGGTGTTCAGGAGCTGTCCACAGATCTGAGCAGACAGAAGAGGTACAGACAGTGTGACAAAATTGATTTTTGTGAGCTTCTTCTAAACCTCATCCCCTTCATGTTGTTTTAATATTCTCTTTTTACTATTGTTATCCCCATCCCCCCAAGAGGTTGGTATTTTTTAGATATTAGATCAGGTGTTGTGTAGAAGGGCCAACTTCAATACACACTGGATAACTGACTAACAGATATGCTCAGTTGTTGGGCTAGATGCAGGAATTACTTGATGAGGTTCTGTGGTCTATGTTGTGAAGAAGATCTGACTAGAGGGCCAAAAGGTCCTGGTTGGACTTAAATTCCATGAACCATGAAAATAATCCCCAATTGTTTTTGAGGCTGACAACATCACTGTGTAGTAACATCTGGGGCTATATAACAACATGCATATGTATTTCTTATATACCAGTCACCATGATATTTAGTCATTGTGGTGTTATTCTGTTGTGGCACCCTATCACCACATGTTGATACTGTATCATAATGTAAAGCAAAGTCATTCTATTAGCTGCAACATAGCCACCACAATGCATACATCCCCCTGTTGAGATACAATAACTTTGTTTAAAGGGATGATGTCTAACACTTAGTAATTTTCAGTCTGCTTGTAACAACTTTTCCCCCTGAGCTACCAGAGACCGAAGACAAACCTGTTACTAATATAAAAATAGGAATATAAGAACTGCCATACTGGCTCAGGCCAAATGTCCATCTAGCCCAGTATCCTGTTTTCCGACAGTGACCAATGCCAGATGCCCCAGAAGGAATTAACAGAACATAGAATCATAGAACTGGAAGGGACTTTGAGAGGTCATCGAGTCCAGTTGCCTGCCTGCTTCCCGCAGCTCCTTTTGGCTGAAAAGGATGAAACGGAGCCAATGGGAGTCACAAGGCTCCGTGGCCACAGTGCTGGTACATAAACAAACCAGGGTGGCCAGTTAAAGTGTTTCTGAAAGTGTTTCTGTGGTACACTTTCAGAAACACTGGTCTAGATCATCCCTGATAGATGTCTATCTCACCTGCTCTTAAATATCTCCAGAGATGGAGATTCCACAACCTCCCTAGGCAATTTATTCCAGTGCTTAACCACCCTGAAAGTTAGAAAGTTTTTCCTAATGTCCAACTTAAACTTCTCTTGCTGCAATTTAAGCCCATTGCTTCTTGTCCTATCCTTAGAGGCCAAGGAGAATAGTTTTTCCTCCCTCCTCTTTGTAACACTCTTTTAGGTACCTGAAAACCTCTATCATGTCCCCTCTCAGTCTTCTCTTTTCTAAACTAAACAAGCCCAATTTCTTCGGTCTTCCCTCATAGGTCATGTTCTCTAGACTTTTAATCAGTCTTGTTGCTCTTCTCTGGACCTTCTCCAATTTCTCCACATCTTTCTTGAAATGTGGTGCCCACAACCAGACACAATACTACAATTGAGGCCAACATGTACCCCCGTTTCCCATTCTCAGCTTCTGTGAAAAAAAGATTAAGGATACCATCCCTGATTTCCTGCCCATCCTGGCCAATAGCAATTGATGGACCTATCCTCTATTAATGTATCTAATTTTTTTTAACCCTGTTATAATCTTGGCCTTCACAACATCCTCTGGCAAGGAGTTCCACCTGTTCACCAATCTGCTGCCTATTAATTTCCATTGATTATCCCTAGTTCTAGTGTTATGAGAAGGAGTAAAGAACACTTCCTTATTTGCTTTCTCCTCACCAGTCATGATCTTAAAGATCTCTATCATTTGCGCCCTAGTTGTCTCTTTTCCAAGCTGAAAAGTCCCAATCTTATTAGTTGCTCCTCATCTGAAAGCCATTCCATACCTCTAATAATTTTTGTTACCAATAATGTGAATAAAATGAATATAAATATGAAATCTGAGAGTGATAAAGACCTAAGCAGGAGGAGTGTACATTCTGTGCACTTTCCTACCCAATAATTTTCCACATTCTTATCTCTATTACTGCAAATGTTTGTGTGTAAATCTAAGAACCTTTTCTTGCCATTCCACCCCTAGGTTCTCTTTTAACCACTCATCATAGATATGATACAATCACGTGATTCTAGTGTCACAATTTCAGGTTTATATCTTTACTCAAAGATCAAGTGGGAAGAGAAGATAGGTGGGGAGAAGAAAGGAATGCTTATTTATAGAGAAATACTCTTGTGATTATTATCAGACAGAAAAAATGTGAGGAAAAAACAGTGAAAGCTATAATTTACTGGAATTCCATCTAATATCATATATTAAGGATCTCTTTAGAGAATTAAAAGCATAAAATGACATGTTAATGTTTGAATTATATCATAGTACATCACAAGATATAATGATATTTCATGCAGTCCACCTGGGTATGTCTTATGATCAATAATATGATGGTGATATTTTGTGATCAGTAATATCACCTAGCCTCTTTTCTGACCAGTCACATAATCTCATCACTGTAGGCCTGTCAGAGTGACTGTCTCCTTTGAGGAGAAGCAAAGTCCAGTGTACTATAACTGATCAGTTGTCTCTACATTGGGTTTCAGAGGGGCAGCTAGTAAAGACAGAAAGGACAGGTGAGTGCTGCCTGGAAAAGAAAGGAGATACCAAGAAATAGATAGGAGCAGCAGAGAAGAGTTGTTGGAGACAGAGTAGAGCAGAGGAGAGCTGGCAAGAGATACTGGGAGAGAGCTACAGGAAACGGGATGGAGCGAGGGAAGATGCTGATGGGAGCTGGAACCAAGGGCTGTTTGGAAGACCAGAAGTTGTTAGTGAACATTGGCCAGAGCTAGGGACCCCTGCCAAGTTGCAGAAGAGCTTGTGCAACACCCCAGGATAAAAAGGAAGAATCAATTTGGTCAGGGAAAGCTGAGAATGAAACAAGTGGGCTGATGTTGGAGTGTGAATCCTAGGATCCCAGGATCTGAGGTAGGACTCACAAGCAAGGAGGCCAGGGAAACTGGAACACTGTGGGGAGCCTTCTTATACCAGGTCTGAATGGAGGGCTGCAGGAAGCTGAATCCAGAAACAAGAGGGTTGAATCTGGAAGGATGTCCCTTAAGCAGGTTAGGACTCACAGGCAGAAAGGACTGGGAAATAGAACACTGGTACCAGAGTTGTGGGAGAAAAGCAACTTTGATAACTCTCCAACACATGGCCTGGAAAGTGGAGCAAGGGCAAAGGAACCGTGAAACACTGGTGATTAATTTGTGGGTGGGTAACCTGGAAATGACATCACTGAAGAGCACATGAAAAATTGCTCTGTTTATACCTGCTGTCACTTGGGATTTCCAGAGAACGGTTTTATCATAAAGGTTATGCAGATTACTCAATGTGTACATGAATACATTACAATATAACATACAGAGATATACCATCTCATAGAACTGGAAGGAACCTTGAGAAGTCATTGAGTCTAGTCCCTTGCCCTCACAGCAGGACTAAATACCATCCCTGACAGATTTGCCCCAGATCCCTAAATGGCCCCCTTAAGGATAGGCCTCACAACCCTGGGTTTAGCAGGCCAATGCTCAAACCACTGAGCTATCCCCACTCCATCCCCCATGCCTAGAAGAGGGCTTTTGACTTGGACATTGAGAGAGACTGTATTTCTTTTATGACTGGACCAGAGGAAACAGATAGCTGAACTAGATATGCTGAGTCTGCCACAGGGGGACACTTTAGCTGGAGCCACCCTGCCACATGCTGTAAGAGAGCCTTTCCCTGCAGTTCGTACCATCTGAACAACCTTCCTATCCCACCCTCCCACAAACTCCCCATGCTTTTCTAATATCAGTTGAAAATTCTCTCTTCTTTTAACTACTTGCTTCCTTTTTCCTTCTGCCATTACTTCGCTCTGTGATTGTATTATTTAACTCAGTAAAATGTTTTCAGACACAGTTTGTATGAAAAATGCTATACCAAATAAAGTTGTATTACATGTCATGCATTCTTTTCTCTGTACCCAGCCCATCTAATGCATAATAGATCAGAGAACATCATGTAGTTTCTAGAGAATAAACATTAAAAAGTCTCAGTGGATTAAGAAAATCTAACCTTCAACACCATTTTAGTGTTAGACAAACCAATAAGAGTACTTTTGCATAGAAACATACATATTGCTTTCAATTAAGACTGTTTTCCCACATTCTGTAATAAGGCCTAATAGTCCAACTATCTTATTCCACAGGTAGGAAAGAGACAACAAGAGCTGGGATTGTGACTATTTTGGCATACCTCTCCTTGGAGGAAGAATGGAATTGCAGCCAAAATCAGTGATCTTCACCACCATGCGGCTGTCCACTACACAGTTTGTGGACTTGAGGCGGCCATGGACCTCAGTTTTGCTTGAGTGCAGGTAGGACATTCCCTGTGATTGATATGAGAGAGAGAGAGAGTCTGTATGTGTGTGACTCGATTGTACCAGAATTAGTAAGAATTTGATGGTTCATCATAAAATCTATCTAGGTACTTACATGACCCTCCTCCACATAGAATTGAGCATATCACAACTAATAAGAATTTTATCCTCACTATATCCATGCATGACAGGGAATTATTTTACTAAAGGGGATTTTCCAAGGTTAAATTAGATGTCTTTGATACATCTCGGAAATGAAGCTAGGTCTCTAGAATTCCAGGCCAGTGCCTTAACAAACCTATCCTTCTTTTCAGCTAACACTATGTGATAATGAGATTTGCTCCTTGATGGTACTAGATCTGCTGAGTTTGAGGAAATGTATTTCCTCCCACTGAAGTTCATTGAATTTGCAACAACTGCTTTTATAGTGCTTTTAATAAAGGTTACAGTCTTGTATAAGTATTTCACAACCCTAAAAATGTGGCTGGGGAAATGTTTTTTATTTTGTAAAGAATGATGACGGTAGATAAATGAAAAATCCTCATTAACTGATAAAAGTGTTAAGATTGTATCCTTGCTGTAAATATCAATCTACAAGTGGGACTTGGTCAGTAGTACTTGAGCAGATTTGATTCTCCAAAGTAGAGGGCAGCTGATGGAGCAATGCAAAGATTACTGGATGACATTCTATGGCCACAAGAGGCCTTCTTAAATGATCATAAAGATCCTTTCTGATCTTACAAATGATGACTCTCTACACATGAGTCAATACATAGTACTTGCAACCTGTAGGCTAACTTCAGAGATCAATCTTCCAGTGCCCTCAGCATGCAGGTTATGCTAATTCAGGTGTTTTTAGACTCAGACTTTCTGAATCTTTTTCTCTGACACATACTTGCAGACATGTAATTTCACCCCTTTATTCAATACTTGTGAATTTGGCCCACTTAGTGAAGGGGAGTCAAAGATGGTGTATCTTGTATGTCAAGAAAGCTGAAAGAGTGGTATAGCAGGAGAAACAACCAGTAGGTAGGTGTAAGTTTAAGTAGATGGTGCACAATTTACACATATTTACAGTTTCTTAATAGTGATTTTTTCTTCCCAAGACTCCCTTCTAGCCCATTATATATAAAGTACAATCTGTATGCTGAGGAGGTTAGAAGAAGGTGTATATGACACCAGTTTAAGTTCCCCTCTGAATTTGTCTCCATAACTTTAAACACACATGCAAAGGTCATCCTCAAGGATAATAGATTATAATCATGAATCTGGATTATACAAATTGTGTGATCATAATCACAGGGTGTGACATGCTGCTTGTTCACAAAAGAGATCTGTGTTTTGCTTACAGCAGAGGAAGAGTCTGGAAGTCTTGTGACACAGCTGGGACAGAAACAGCAGTGGTTGGAACTCATTACCCTATGCATACATATATCATGCTTGAACCTGTGGGATTATGTAGTAATGTGTGCTGAAAGAAAACAATTGCTGATACACCCATGCAGCCCTGCTTCAAGGCCCGCCTTCTGCTACTGCATCTCCTATACACTCCTGCTGACACCAACCCAAAGAGCAAACCCACTAGAGCAGAAAACTCCTTACCAGTTTTGGCCTCTTATGAGAGGGTCTGATAATACTATAGTCTACGTGTAACAGAAATCCCTTGCCTTCAAGTTGGGGAGTTGGTGTGTATGATAAAACTTTCTCTTTCACTACCACCCTTTTGACTAGGGAAGCAGATTTGAAAGCAGAATGCATGGTTACGCACCTGGCTGGGATTTTCAAAATTGCATGAGTGAGTTAGGGGCACAAATTCCATTGACTTTCAGTGAGGCTTGTATTTCTGCATCACTTCTTAAGGACATATCAATAGGAGTTAGATGGCTTGGCACCTTTAAAAATCCCAGTAAATGCCTCTCTGCATCTTTAGGCACCTCAATACCTTTTAAAATATAGCCCCATGACATTTTTGAGTCTTCAATCCTTTAGCTTTAATTGTGGCCAAGCCCTTTCAACCAGGCTATTTTTCTGATAGAGTAAAAAATATTGTATTCAGCTGCAGTTTTCTTTGGTGTATTTAACAATACCCTCTTGATTAACAAGCAACAACCTTGCAATAGCAACATGGGCACATGTTCCCATAAGACTCAGTTACCACAATCCCTTTGTATCAGGGTTTTTGTCAGGCCTTTTTGGTCACTTGCAGCTAGTACACAATACAGACACACCAGTCCTGGGGTCCTATGATCTGTGTCGAAGAAGATGCCACTCTTTGAACTTGTCACAGGTCTGCAGAAGCAGTGGGCACTGGCTTAAAACTGCTTCTGCTGGTAGAGCCTGCACTGTCCTCTACACACTGCCAGGGCCTACTATAGGGACAGCAGCTGCTTCATGCTCTTTTCATCTGCAGCTATGAAGATAGTACTAGCTTCTTGTCCAGAAACAATGAGCTGCTAAAGGTATCAGCCCCTCCACCAGTTCTCTTCAGGGTCAGCTAAAGAGTAGGGGAAGCAGAAAGCAGATTTCACAGGTAGAGGTCATGTATTTTGGAGGACTCTTCAGAGAATTTGTCTGAATCATCTTGACTGGTTCAAATAACAACAGGTGATATTCCATAGAAAGGGCCTCATACTCCTTTTACCCTTGGGCTCCATATCCCATTTACAAACAGTGCAGTGGCTGGCAGCTTGTCTGGGAAATCCTTAACCCACTGAAGTTAGTGAGAAGTTTGCAAATGACTTCACTGGAATCAGTATTCACTCTATCTCCGTGTATGATCTCATCAGCTCTGATACTCTCAGCAGGCTCAGCCTTGGTCAGTGCCTGGATGAGAGTCCTATGAAGATTAACTGCCAAAGATTAAGAAAACTTGTTTGTAAGATTCCAGAAGAGAAGGGAACACATCCACAATATTTAAAATAATTCTTAATGCTGAAGGTTAACTGAATGTGAAATGGTTATTAACATGACCAACAAACTGTGACAATTTGGATTAAGAAGATTTTAATAAAAAGTGAGATTGTCATTATCACATTGAAACAGACATAGCAAATGCATTCATCATTGAGACCCCA